CTGAGGGGAATGCATTTCCAAAACCTCCAGTCTCGGTGCAGGAGTTCTCTCTGGCTGGTCCAGTCTGGACACTCAGAAACTGAGACACTTCACAAAGTCCCCTTCAGGGGTTTCAGTTCATCATCTGAGGTGGGAAATGCTCCAGTGGAAAGTGAAATTAAACCCCTGTGTTTATAAACAAAGCAATTTCTGGTTTTGTTCATTAGAGATCCAGTGTGGAAGGCATACAAACTACTGCCAATTCATTTCAAAGTATATTTGTGAGAAGACAGAATTGCAATGTTCTTTAGCCATAACTCCAATGAGAGGATCCCAAACGAGCTTTATTCAAAAAAAGTATGAATTGAGACATAAACCCATTGACTCCAACAGCACCGAATGAGGTGTTTGTCTAGATTTGGGGGTGGTCGTGTGATGTAGAAGATTCGTTTTGTGAAGGAAGTTACAGCATGTGCCCAGGAGGGCCAGCACGAGCAGCTCTCGGCGGGTCGCTGCAGGTGAGGCTCAGCAAACGCCCAAGCTGTTTCCTCTGCCAAGGTCATTCCCGAACACACAACTGACTGAGAATGCAGGAATTGAGAGAAAGCAGACTTACTTTTTAAGATCTGAGATTGTGAGGTCTCACTGATAACTCTTGCCCTGCCATGTCTTCCCGCAGTGTAACACTGAGGTTACCTGGGAATCGCGTGCCAGGGGCACTGCTCGGCTGTCCCTGCGGCTGCAGAGCCTCTGCCTGACTACATCTAGTGCCCACAGCCCCAGGCAGCCACACACTACACCTCAAAAGCCCTTCTGCCCTCACCTGATACTGCCACGTAGTTGTTGTAGCTTCTCTTTGTTTCTTGTTACTGCAACACATTTTAAAGGCTTCCTTTTCTCTTACAGTGTCTATTAACCCTCCCAACCAACTCAGGCCAGAACTGGCTGAAAAGCAGCAGACAGCTCTCACTCTGATCAGACCCACTGACCAACCAGACCCACTGGTGGAAGCAGCACTTTGCTGTCAGGTGTCCTTCCCACAGGCCATGGGATTCACCTGGGCCCAGCTCACTGAGAGAACTGGTCAGAGCCAACATCTGTGACCAGGAGAGTTCTGAACAAGTAACTCTCAGAAGTGGGTCTCAGGAGGAGACCAATGTTCCTGCTCTGTCTCTGCTCCTGTACTGCACTACTCCCAGAACTCTGTAACTGAGAGCTCACGTGGAAGCCCAACCCAGGCACAGTGTCTCCATTCCCACTGTCACTGGCACTCAGGTGCACTCAGCTGACACCTTTAAGGCTTAACCCTTTCTACTGTTCTCCCAAACCTCACAAATATACACACAACAAACTTTCCCCTCTACCTTTATCCATCTATTGTTCAGCCTTGAATATCGTGTTCGGGGTACTGCTGGCTTAAAACAACAACTACTACTCCTTTTCAAGCCAATTACAGGTTACAGTAGCTTTGCCCAGTTATTTTAGAAGACCATTCTAAAAGCAGAGGCAGCTAAAAGCTGCTGCTCTCTTCCAGTCAGCATTTTAACTGCCTTCAGGCTTATTTCCCTTATCAAAGGAGTGCTCTGAAGGGTTACTTTCCATCCATCCAATTCCTTGGGAGGTAAGGGCATCCCTCCCCACCTTCCAAGTTGCTGCACTGGGAGGACAACAGGAAAGTCACCTCACTCTGCTGGCACAAAGTGTCAGGAGCATGAGATGCTGCTCAGAGCTGCTTTTCTATCGTTCCTAATCTGAAACTAAGTTGGATCCAGAACAGCTGCAGTCTCCAGCCTTCCTTTGCAACACGAAATCCACAGCTCTTGGTGTGTGCTCAGTGCTGCTGCACACTGGAACACATCAGTCCCGTACCAGAGCAGGAACTCAGCTGCATCCATGCACACTGGAACATGGTGTTTAAGCACTATGGGGCATTAGGTTCCTTCCAGTACCTCTGCAGCTACTCTGGACAGCAAGAGTTCAACACTTTGCCAGCCTAAAACTCCTTCCTTAGGTATCCAAGTATTCATAACAGCTTAAGAAGCTGTGATTTACCCAGCAGCAATGTGATGCCATCTCAGATTCCTTCTCAGTGGCTGCTAAAGCTAAGGCCTGTGAATTAGGCCCCCAAGTGCCTAATGACAGTCCTCAGCTGACACCTCCTCACTGGACCTGACACTGCAGCCTAAGAGAACTGGGAACATCTGACAGCACCAGGGTCATCATTTCCATGGTAATTCTTCCTGCTCTTCCACATTCTAGTATATATTTATGCACAAGACTTAAGGTCTAAATCAACCAAGCAGAAAAAAGTTGTAGCAATATTGCAATCAGTAAAACACAGTGCTCAATATTCTCATTTAAGCATGACATATTTCAGTGCAGTTGTTTTCTGGTAATAGAAAATTTTCTGTTCTGTTTATTAAAAAGTCTGTCTGCTAACCCTGAATTCTGTCAGAAATACTCTGAGGAGAGGATCCAGGCAAGTTCCATACACAGTGGACACATGAGTGCAAACAACTGACAACATGGACATGTAGCAGACAAGACAATTACAGTTTGCCAATTTACCTGGAAGTGGAATAGGCATGCCAGGAAGGGGGACACGAAATGGAGGTACCATTACTGGTGGAAAAGCAGGAATTGCTGCAGTTGGTTGAGGTACTGCATGAGGAACTGCAGGAGGCAATGTCTGTGGGACTGGCTGGGGTACAGTCTGCACAGGTGTAGCAGAAGGAGCAGAGGTTGAAACACTGACTGATGGTGTGGCAACTGAAACACCCGAACTCGGGGTCTGGTCTTGTGTGGTAGGTGCTGATAAGAAAACACAAAGAACACCTTTGTATCTCAGACACTGCAACAGACTTCTGCAAACATACTGGCGCTCTGTTTCCCGTGCATTGGCAGATCCGCTCGGATATCACCAGCAGGAACACCCTCCTGGGCAAAAAGCACTTTGCCTTCTCTGGAACATTAAATATTCACAAAGCAAGTCAATTTTCAGTTTTACTTTGTCCCGTTCTTTACACCTAACAGGTCTCTACAGCAGTAGCAGGAGTGCATCAGAGGACAATGAGGGTCTACTCTGTATCCCTGTTCAGAGACAGAAAGGGAACGTGACAGTTTCCAGTGGCAACAGACTGTCCCTGTGCCGCAGGAACACAGGGTCTGCTGCAGCAGCAGCCCGCTAAAACTGTGCGGAGCTGCCATCCCAGGCGGGAAAATCTCCATGGAAATGTGTCAATAAGCAAGGAAAAGGAAAGTACTTTTGTTCAGCAGCTGCAAGAACTTGCCTGGCCGCCAGTGCCTCCCAGTGGGAAACACAGGACTGGCATCCAGCTCCGTAACCCCGGCAGCATGACTGAATCCAGCCCTTAGCTGGGAGAAACAGCCTCTCAGCACGGGCCGGCAGGGTAACCAGGCAAGTCTGCTCGGAACTCCAAATTCTCTCTGCAAGAGCTGGTGCAGGGAAGGAGGAAAAACGTACGGCTACGTGACAATGGGCACACTGTGCATTCCCTCCACTACCAGGAACATTCCCAACAGCACAACAGCATTAGCACATTTAAATACAGAATTTTTTATGCCTGGTTAAGTGTTTCAGAAAGGGTGAAAGCTTACAGCAGTGCCTAACATTCAAGGAAACAGAGCAGACAGTCAGTATGTGATTTGTTGTAAGACCTAAGTCAAATCAGTACCAGGCAAGAGTGAAGCTCAGCCACAAGTCCCAGTGGTTTTACAAGTCAAGTCTGAGAGTTATAAAATCATTTTAAATTACAAAATTTCATCGCCTAGGCACAGACACCAACAGTAACAGTTCTTGGAAGCAAAGACAAAGTTTAGCAGATAGAACAGGTAGAAGTGGAACAGATTCTCAGTGTTTGGTATCAGGAAACTCAGCTACAGGAAAGTGCATAAAGGGCTGTTCCCAAACAGGATCAGTTCTCCCAGGCCTGGCACTGGGTCAGGAGCTAACATTCACCTCCCACCTGACTCATGTTACTCACACAACAATTAGAGCAGACCACAGTTCAACAAAGCTGCTGAACACAGCACCAAGTTACCTTTCCAATCAAACAAAAGCCCTAGAATGCTTCGAGCAACACAAGTTCTTCACTGCTCTAAAGGTGTGTCCTCCCTCCAGCCTTCACGACAGCAGAGCTGGAAGTTATCTACATCTGACTCCCTTCCACACACAGGTTCTGAAGTTTGGATTAACTGGTGAGTTAAGCTTGACTTGTCTCACCAGCTAGAGGAGAAAGATGAATTCCAGAGGATGCAACTCTACCCTAGAGCTGGAACAGTTCCTCTCCTGCACACTCTCTGTCTTGGCCCAGTGCAGCCCCAAGGACCAAAACTGTCCCAGTGCTGGACTCCTGCTCAGCACCAATGCTGCACTGTCTGCCAGTGGCCCTGCACATAGACAGGACCCTCTCCAAGCTGCTCCTCACCCAGCACACCCAGCTCTGGGCACACTGCTGACCTGACTCGCTCACGTGCAGACAGACCCACAGTACACAACACACATCTCTGCTGAGATGCACCCGAGGCACTGGGCAGCACACACCTGACAAAGTGCAGTGCAAACCACACTGCTGTGTGCACAGACATGCACCAGTGCACAAACTCAGTCCCCTTGCCTCAGCTGGAGAAACCTTACATGCAAGGGCTCAGCCCATGGAAGCAGCAGTAGTCTCCAGACTGTGTTATCCAAAGGTCATGAGAGAAAAATAGTGGCTCTAAGGACTTTCTTCTTCCTCTTTGTGCGACTCTAGAAAGTATGCACAGAGGAGGCTCAGGCAGAAGAATAATGCTAGCAAAAGTACTACACCAAACAGCTCTAATCTGCAACCAAGCTCTGCTCACAGCCCAGCAGCACTCAGACTCAACAGGTGCCACAGAGAGAACAACAAGGAAACTGCTACAACTCAACTCCTACCTGAGATCAACTTCTCTTGTGAGATACTTTTATAAACAATTTAGCTCTGCCTATAGTCAAAAGGAAATAGATGTGCAACAGCTCTGAGGTGACAACAGGAGGAGAAAAATATACAAAGACCTAAAGAACTCTTTGAGATTGGGGGGGGAAAAAGGTTTACATGCAAAGCCCTTCTGGATTAAACATGTACTTGAAATTCACACTGCACTTCATGCTGAAACTTCCTCTGGACACGAGTTTCTGCTGCAGCAACTCCCCATGCAGCACCCCCAGCACCTCCCCAGCACCGCGGGGCCGAGAGCACCAGGCACTCACTGGAGTTGGTCTGTGACACCGACGTGGCCGTGGTGGTGGTGGAGGTGGTGGAGGACTGCGTGCTGGAGGAGGTGGATGGAGAGGCTGCAGCACCAGGGCTGCTGGTGGTGGGGGTGGAGGCCGCCACGGCCTGGGCCTGGGCCTGTGCCGCCAGCATGGGCGTCAGCTCCGACTGCTGGATGACCTTCACCCCGTCCGGCTTCGTCCAGGCCGACTCGCGTGTCCGTGCGTTGTAGAAGTACACCTGGGGT